ATGTATTAATTTTGAACTGTGTATCATATTAGTATCACTACCGTCACATAATTTTAGGGCAACTGTATTTATAATGTTCCAGACATTTGAGTCTAACATTTTTGGAAACCATCTTGTGCTTGTCAGGCTGATAAAATTGTGACTTAAAATTATAATAGTAATTACATTATTATTATTTTTTTTCAGTGTATAACAACATACATGAACATTATTTTATGTATTTCCTCTTGTAGTATACATAATTATTATTGCAAATGATTCATAAGATTTCAAAAAAGTACTGAAAATAATTTTAAAAAACTAATTATTAAAAAACTATTAATTAAATACTATTTGAAATCAAGTAGAAATATTTCATATTTTACTGATAAAACTATAAATGTTCAATGTGTGTTGTTCTGGTTTTATGATGTACATAGAAATGAGTATCCCAATCTTCCCAACATGTATTGTAACTTTTTCGACACTGTTTCTTTAGAAATGCTTGGCCATCTAAAGTTGTTGCCTTTACATAGGCAAGTATTATTCTTAAATTGTCTATACCATCTCATATTCTGGTGGCTTTTTGGAATATACAGTTGCATTGTGGTGCTTTGAAATAATTTTGCATAGTAACAAAAATATAAATGTTGCATATTTCCAAAACACAAAATACTTCAACATTTTCATAAATGGTCACTTATTGGCTGCATGAGATGAACACAAGAATGCCTCTATATGTAAACTTAAATATTTAACATATTTAAGTTTACATGAATGAATGTGTGTGTGATTCATAACTTAAAAATTATTGGACTTTGAAACCCACTGAATAAATTGTAACAACTTTGCATAGTTGGTCCCAGAATTTCATTAATGTTCATATTTTTTATTATAGATTCAGACTGCTATTTGTGAGTGCCCTGGTGGATCTAATCCTGCAAGTTGCAAGCATGTTTTTGCATTGCTTTATGCATTAGTTGATTATAGTCAAAAAAAAAATTATATGAAGCCCCAACTGAACAGCTACAAAAAATGGCATCAACCAAGGCCAAAACTCTTATCACCAAAAAAGAGTTCAGATATATTTAAGCCACATGCTTCCAATTATTCAACCACGAATTCTGTTAACTTTTCAGCACTTTTTGGAGAAAACTGTAATTTCCCAATATTCTCTGTACTGGAATGTACAGACCATCTATTTCAAGTCGGAACAATTCCCCTACCTGCATTGGTATGTACCAGGATAAATATTGAAATGCCCGATTTCTTAAATATAGAAGAGGTGCTTTACTTTCATCAAAACATAAAATGTAGCCTAGAAGAAGCATGGGAGATAGAGCTTAAAACTACAGAACAGAGTGAGAGCAATTTGTGGAAGAACCACCGTCAGATAAGACTAACAGCTTCTGCCTTTCATAGTATTGCTCACAGGATGGCAGACTTTGATACACTGGCAGCAAATATATACAGAAATCATGAAAAAGACCTCAGCAAATTGCCAGCAGTCTCATTTGGTTCCAGACATGAAAGTGTTATTAGAAATTTTATCAGGAGCCAAAATGAATCTTATATTTTGAGAAAAGTTGGGGTTGTTACCAACCCACGTATTCCATTTTTGTGTGCATCACCTGATGGCTTACTTTTTAACAAAGAAAATGTTCGGCTTGTCGAAATAAAATGCTGTTACAATCCTGAAAATGTTGAGCTGAATCAGCTTGCCAAAAGACCAAATTTTTGTTTATACAATGTAGATGGAATTTGGAAGCTTAAAACAACTCATGCATACTTTTATCAGATTCAAGGGCAATTAGCGATAAGTAATTTAACAGAATGCCAGTTTACTTTTTATTACAAATATCCAAATTATATTCATACACAGATTATACATTTTGATCCTGTATTTTGGAATAATTTGAAACAACAACTTAAAAATTTTTATTTTAATCATTACATTAAGTTCTGTTTAAGATGTTAAATTTTATCTTGGCAGTATATCTGAAATCTCATATATACATTGTGAGCAATATACTATTATTGACATGTTCTAGCTGTAAAAAGAATTATATAAATATGTAACTTGCCTTTATGTATAAAAGCAGGCAACAATGAGCTGTTGGTAACAGTGATACCCCCACAGTATAGTGGATAATAGAGAATTTGTTCTCGGGGACCTGCATACCATTTTACATTAAGGCTGTAATTACTTTAAATAATCATCAATAATTGATCATTCTTTCATCAAGCCTTTGGTGGACTTAACTCATTTAAGGTATAATTATGTATTGGGATCAGTATGAAATCAATATTTCCTTAGCATGTTTGATGTGACTGAAAACTAAGCTAAATTTCTTACAACTTTAGCTCTTTGATTTAAATCATTGGAAAAAGGAATTTGACCATTTCTTAAAATCTGATGTGATACTTAACAAATCTTACTAATAAAATAATTCAGTTAAAATGGATCTATAAGGTGCACAGACTGATATTGTTTTCTATATGAAAGAGTTTAAAATAAATCAAATTACAAGCTGTAACACAATGGCCAATACAGTACAAAGTCCGAAATCTGGACTCGTCGGGACCTTGGCGATTCTGGATTTGGGATTTTTCCGGATATCAGATCATCAATTTAAATCTGGTGAGACGGCATGCAGAAATTATACAATTAAAAATATGAATTCATAATTTATGAAATAAAGAACAATTATGGTTAAACAAAAGGGTATCAAAATTTACAAAAAAAAAGCTTAATATTTATTTGTTTACTTTAAGGCTTTATCTAGGGGCGGCGCTAGATACCGCCTGGTGCAGTCTGTACGGGTCCTAAATTCTGCTACAAAGCGCCTACTTAAGTTCTAAATTTTCACCGCGCCTAAACTTTGGATCCCAGGTGCTTTCCCTAAATCATAAAAAACTTCTCATCCCTTAATTTTGCCACTTGGTGCTTCCCCAAATTCCAAAAATTTTGTCTTCCCTAAATTCTGCTGCCGCTTCTGGGTTTATGGTGAGTAACATATCAGTTATTCTTAATTAAAATAGCACTAAATGTAATCTTTTGGCCTAAGAGTTTCATTAACAAAATCTATTTTTAGCATATGAAAAGAAATTTTTGTTGAATTTTTCTTTGTCAACATTTCTTAAAGCATTTAAAAATCTATAATCATCACCAAGCATAATGTTAGCATAAAAGGTTGCCATACTCTTGTTATTCAATTACTAATATATAAAAAAAAAGTTTAGACATCACTGCATGAGTTATTACTGAAGCTGCCATGTATTGATAAACATGCGGTGATGAAAGCAAAATATAATGAATAATGACTCGCCAGGTAGCGGTTGGGATTTAAAATAGGTAAATGTTTGGTTTGAGATGTATGCTAAGCAGATACTCAACTACGGATCCAAATTATTAATCTCACAAATTTATGCTTACATGATTGTTTTTCCATGAGGTATTTTTTTTAGTGCCTAAGTGAAATTAACAATCGGAATTTTTAAGTGAAAATCTCCACGTTTTATTACGGAAGGAAAAATCAAATGCGTATGCGTAAAGTATACCCCCCCCCCAAAAAAAAATGTTCGTGGCTTTAAGGTCCGGATTTCGGACTTTGTATTATACTTGAACCGAGAAAGTGTAAGTAATGACCATACTTTTTACTATTGCCATCGCACATACATAGTTTGCTACTTGCCACTGACATAGAAGACTCTGCTTGGTCTTCTGCTGCCATAGCCCATTAAAACCAAATTTCCTACCAGACATGTCTATTATACATCCCACATTGATTTCTGCAGTTATTTCATGCAGTGTTGTTTCAGTCATTAAGTGCAGGTGATTGGCCACTGTGTTGTCCATGATAGGAGGTTATACCTGAACTTACGTATTCCCGGCACGTTCTTGTTACTGTGGATCTCTATGTTGAATTCCCTAATTTCCAAAATGGAATGTCCCATGTATCTAGCTCCAACTACCAATCCACGATTAGAGACTGTTAATTCCCACTGTGTGGCTATAATTACACTGAAAACTTTTTACATGAATAACTTGAATACAAACGAAAGCCCTGTAAATTTGCCCCATTTATACATATATCAATGTATATCATACACACCCATGTATAAGTTGACTCTCCTACATTTGAGAAAAATTTTGGGGAAAACAAACTTGTCGAGGGATGCCATCGCCACCAATAAAAACAGCATTCCGATGTTCACAATAAAATTTAATTCACGATTTAGCGAACTTTTGTTTATTTCCATTTTAGCAGATAATAAGCCTCACTTAAATAGACTGCGTCATCTTCTCTGCCATCATTTAATTCTATGTTACATTTGCTGATTCGATATGGTTTTATTAACTAAAGAGCGCCTCACAGATAGCGTACAGATTGAATTGGTCTGCGACATCAGATGTTGAATTAAAAAAAAAAAAAAAAAAAAATAAAACAAAAATAAAATTTTTTTTTTACTGCATGAACGATATATTTAATAATCAAGTTCTCCGATGTGCCATCAATCGGCGGCAATGCTGCTGGGATATTTTTTTAGGTTCTATATGCATAGTAAAAGTCGAACCCCTAAGTTTTGTTTTGAATTTGTTTTTTGATTTTTTCTTAAAATTTAGTATAAACTTATATGCGAGTATGAATACAGTATATGCATAGCAATAACACAAATCAATAAATACACAAAAACAGCAAAAATAAATATAAATGTATTACTGGTTGAAATTTGCTTTATAAAAGTTATGTTGCTTATATGGAAGGAGTTCTGATGATGTGTTTATTTGTGCTAATTTTTATATTGCATCTTTGATTTATTATTTATATTATACAGTTATTTTCCTTGTTATATACATGCATATCTAAATTTAGATTTCTCATAGAGCGGCGATGATAATACATTTTTATCTTCAAATGACTGATGATCCATGTTAATTTTTTCATTATATAACAAAAGAATATGAAACTACTTTTTAAAATTAATCATTTTATATAAGATTTTAAAAAGTACACAGGTTTATAAAACAAAAAATATTTCCATTAACAAATGGTATGAAGTAAAATATATGTACACATATTTGGGAATACATTAACCATCTAACTTTTTTTTTTTTTTTTTTCAGAATTTAATGGTAAAACATTTATCAGAGGTTTATTAAAATTCGTTAAAAATGCAACAATAAAAAACACCTCATTTAAATTATGTAGGCTATTATATGGAATAGCTCCCTCAAAATAGCGGAATATTTTTATTCTTCCTATTGCCCGTTCAATATGCACTCTTTTATTGGAAATAGCTTTATTTTCACTTCTTTGTTCAAGAGTGAACTGAATGTTTCCTTTCAAAAAGTGCGGTATTTTTAAATGACACCCTTTCTTAGATAATTCTGAATTAATTGTAAATCCTTTATCAGCTAATACTAAATCTCCTTCCTCGAGCAAATCAAGTAACTGACTTTTTAAAAAGAGAGCTTTATCTGATATTGCACCACACCACAAATCTGAAATAAAGGTGACTGCTCCAGAAGGAGAGATGCCGACTAGTGCTTTCAGCGTATTGGCATTTTTGTAGTAGCTGAAAGTTAGTTGCTGTTCTGTAGGATTGCATGGCCTCTGTATTTCGAGCTCTGTGCAATCAATGATTACTCGGCAATTTGGATATTGATGTAAGAATTGCAGAGGCATGAACTCTTTAACTTGGGCCTTTTTTGGCCATATATTCACACATTTAAGCTTAGTAGAAACAATTCTCGTTACACAATTGAAAATCTTTGAAACTGTAGAAGAAGCTATCTTAAAAATTATTCCTAGGAATTCATTTGTGGTTCCAGTTCGAATTTTCACTAGAAACATGAAAAATTGATCAATAGGTGGCATTCTATCTTTCTTTAACAAATCTTCCGATAAATTTAAAAAGTTGAATATTGTCATAAACGTCTCATGAGAGAAACCTGTTACGCATTTCATGTTTACTTTTATCCTCTCATTAGCTGAAGAAAACACATTCAATAAAACATTATTTTGTGCAGCATCCAATTGGTCTCTCATTTGACAAAATTCGTTTAAAATTAACAAAAAAGACTCGTCAGTTTGTGATGATACTGTCTTCCTTATGCAAACAGGAATATTTGCTCTGAAAAGGAAAAGAAAATATGTACTGTAATAAATAGTTTGACAGTTTAAATAAAACAAAAGTTCTAATATTAAAATAAATACTTTTCTTCAATAGTAATGTCCAAAATTTAAAGCATGAATTGCAGCTCCTACACCACAGAATAGTTATGGTTGATGGAATTGGTGAATAGGAATTTTCCTAATCAGAAATTAGTCAAGCAATATGCTTTTTTTTTTTTTTTTTTTTAATTTTCTTTTTTTTTAATGTTGTGATAGACAGGCAAACAACATCATCATAGTCATATTATTGCTATTTTTTTTAAATATATTTACAATTTCTAGATATTATACATGAAAATTTCAAGACGGTATATATGTAACTAAGGATGGGTTATATTCAATATTATAAAAAAATATATTGTAGACAACAAGCTCCAAGACCAAAATAAATGCATAAGTGTCCTTTTAATAATTTGAAAAATAAAGATAATAATGAAAGAAAGAAATAATAAATTAATAAAAGAAAACAGTGCTTTTAATAATTTGGGAATAAATATATGTATAAAATAAAGGTACTCAACTGGGTATAAAGTATATATGTTATGAATAACAATCTCCCCCTATTTTGGTGACACTACACCATGCTACACGTTGCAAACATCTAATTTATCACTTGCATCTAGCTAAAGTACCAAAATAACTGATAAATTTAAAATATCTGAATTTAAGTATAAATAACGTTTTATTATGAAAAGACATTTCTAAAATATCTATTCTGATTACAGTACAGCAACTTAATAAAAAAATGCATTCTCTTAGCTAGAAAGGTATCAATGTAACTGATTTAGGATACTTTTCCATTATGCACTTGCCATGCATTTTGATGTGTATGTGTGAATAACAGAAAAATGAGGTATGTGTGTACACATATACCACTTCGCACACACACATACCAAAATTTGCATGGCAGATATATAACGGAAAAGGAAAAGTTCTCTCATTTATTTGGCATTCTTTTATTGAACTATTTAAATACTTTTGTAATATATAGAATTCTTTATTAAAGCAGTTCCCAAGACTGAATCACTAATCAACTGAAACATCTCATTGAAATCTTTCCACATATTTCTCATACCTCATTACATGTTACATCTTGGTTGATTAGTAATTAAATTTGGGGGACATTTTACTAAATTTTCAATTTTTTTGTGAAACTTTTACATGCAAATAAACATAAGGTATACAAAATAGAGGACGAACTAACAATAAAAAATTATTTTTAAATCAGCAATACTGAAGCATTTAGAAGCTTAAAATTTCTATGTAGTAAGCTATTTGCAAGGATAAACTAACTTAAGGCTAGCGTCTAATATGATACCTTACAATGTGATGCTAGTAATCAGAATCTGGTGAAGTAAATAATAACAACCCAGAAATCAAATTCAATGAATTTATTAAAAAGTATTATTAGCAGTGGTAAAAACTGAAGTAAGAAACACCAAAGAAATAAGCATAGAAAGTGTCATATTATAGAAATAAGTATTAAAATTAGGTGGAAACCTCGCTAACTGCTTCGTCAGTGAAGTGTCTACCAAAGTTGTAAGAATTGAAGTAAGAAACATGATAAAAGAATAAAACAACAAGTCCTTAACACATAAGCAATAAAAACCCTGTCAAATACGAAATAATATCATGCCATAGACAGCAATTAAGTTGCGATCAAGGCAATTTTCATTTCTAAAACTATCAGCTGCAAAAAACATTGAAACAGGAAGAAAGTAATTAAATTTCATAGCACACCAATTATGCTTTTATCTTTTTCTAAAACCAAAAGTGTAGAAAATTTAAAAAAAAAAAAAAAAAAAAAAATTGCTCATATACAAATGCTCTATGTATTTCTGATAAAACTAGTAGATAAATACCTCTTTTCTCTTGAACTTTCCTGTGATGGTTCACCAAATACATAACTAGTTCGCTTACGAGTGGTTCCTTTAGTCGAAATAAAAATAAATTTCGTTGGCACAGCATCTGCCTTTAATGACCTCCTGTTCGTGAATGGCTGGTATGTGAAACATTCTTCTTCAAAATGTTCAGAGCAAATTCTGGTAGTGGGGGTTGGATTGAAGTTTTCCCTTTTTATTCTTACTATCCACTCTTTACGCAGATTTTCATCCTTAGGAAACAGATGGAAGGAAATCTTATTTTCTTTACATCTGTCTTTCATATTGTTATTTGAACAACCGTATGCACAACATGTAGTAGGCATTGTCAACACTCAAAAACTGGAAATGTAAACAGGAATTTAGAAATCAAGACTAAAGATTAAAACTATAATGGGAAAATGATAAATGAATTATCAGATCAAGGAAAGAATTCATAAATAAATATTAACAATCAGAACATGGTAAAGCAGCGAACAAGAGAGTATCATGAAGATAATAATAACATATAAGAGTGGCAAAAATTATACTAACCAAATGAATGAACAGTTAATTAACGTTTGAAATAATACTTAAAACTGAAATGCAAATTTCATAACTAATTAAAAATAAACAAAGTTTCCGATTTTTCAACACAGCTACAACAGCACAAGCTTGTTTGTTTACATTAGCAGTCCTTACATCACGTGACCTCAGACGTCACCGGAATGTATCTCATTGTCAAAATAAAAACTAACTGTATCTGCATTTACCTTTGCTGCATTGTTAATCATTAAATTTAAGCTATGAGCAGCACAAGGCACGTAAACCACACCAGAATTTACTTTTAAGATATTTTAAGGACCATTTTTCTTCCCTTTCGTATTTGCGCCCTTGTCATATCCCTGACCTCTCATATCATCATTCCAACATTTCCATTATTGTCTCACATAGGACATTACCTGTAGAATCAACTTTAATAAAGCCTTAAAAAATGCTCCTTGATTTCTACTACTCCATCACTGCGTTCATCTGTTCAGTTATACTAAAATTGGAAGTACAATCTAAAATTATAGAATAATACTTGGCTTTTCGAAGAGAGTAAACTTTTCTCTCCTGTACTACTGCCAATAATCTGCAGCATTTCATTTTGACTATCTTTGCTTAGACTAACTTCGCTGTTGCTACCTTTAGGTTATAATACACTTTCTACGTGAAATTCCATAACTGAATCAAGCTTTGCAAACAATTCCACTCATTTTAAGAAGCTTCCGTTGTCATTTTGTACATCAGATAAGCTTTAAAAGGCTAAATTCTGGCTGCAGTCTTCCTAATACATTTGGCCATTTTTTTTTTCCCCCATACATGTCTTGTGTTTGAGAATCAATTGTTTTATTTTTGAAATTTTTCTCAAGCTCTTTCCATTTTAAGAAATTCGTCATATGTGCTTTACTAGTCTCATGCCTATGTAAGGCTTTAGGTACATTTGTCCAATCATTATAGCCTTTTACGGGGCTACTGCTGTCAATCGATGCAAATATCTTGCAACAGAAGCAAAAAACAGAATTTCTACTTATGGAATATAATAGCCGTGTACGGGCAACTAATTCACTGTTTTCCATTTTTCTGTCGTATCACTAAATTTGCATTCATTATTACTTTTCGAATAACTTTTCTTTTGAATAAGCGCCATGTCAGAAAATGTCATTCTCACTTTTTCGTTGTTGGCCATTTTGCGGGAGTATCAAAATCATTATGAAGAAGTGAATTTTCATTTATGGTCTCTTCCCTCGAATTATCTGGATAATCTTGAACTTCCGATTAATTGAATTCCATGCTTCTATCATTCTCTTCCTCTGGAGTTCCATCAGTCCTGTCAATAACTTCATCCAATGCAGCTGATGTTCTTTGTCTGGATGATGTCTGTTCTTTTGTAATCGAATCTGATGTTGATTCATTGTGAACATCATTTATGTCAGAAGTAGTCTTTATCTTCCTTATGAAATGAGACATTGCGTCTGCCTGCTTCTTAAGGGCAGCATCTTTCTCAGCTTTGCGTTTACGATTCTGCTCACCGGATGATTTCTTCTGTGTTTCCATATTATCAAAATTTCACTCTTAAATGTAAAAACTAAATTCTAAATATTAAATATATAATCTTTCTTTTAAAATAAACCATAACATCTGCTAACTAGATGAAAATTTAAAAAAAAAGAAAATTACCTTTATGATAATCTTTTTCGAGCAGTTGGTGAAGAATTAGCATCTTTCGAAGAAACGATAAGGAAACGTTTGACCGTGTTGATGGAGCAAACTTAAACGCTTGCTAAGGGTGTCAGGACTTGTGTTTCTCCTGATTTGGTTTGCAAACATGATGTGTCCTGAATAGGTGGTGGTGTGGTGTATTTAATTATGGCAAAGCACACTGGGGCTATCTACCTAAGGGGGGTGTCCTGAATAGGAACAGGGAGCTTACTCAAGCTATGTTCAACGATGTGTGGAGTAGACAACACAAGCAGGAAGGGTATACGAAGCCCTTTATTTTCAATACTTTACAGGTTCTCCCGAACTTCGGGATACAGAGACCAACCACTTGTGGTCTGAACGTAAGAATATAAAACTACTAACTAAAACTCTAACTAAAAGCTAACTTTGAATTAGTATACAAATGCCTAGCCCTAAGACTGGCCTTTATTTAAAAGGGTGCGTATTTAGTACGCCGAGCTGCTGAAACTACAATACGTTTTCAAATATCAAGAAGGCTAAACCTCTGGCCTTAAGGCAACCCAAATGCAACTGCAACCGAGTGAAAACTCGTAAAACTGCAGTGGCAAGCGGCTTGCTTCCTAAATCTCCTTCTCTCTCCCTCTTGGCAAAAAGCCATAACTTAAATGCTTGGGCGTTAGCAAGACAATTTGCATAAACTAGTTAAAGCATTTAATTCTAGCCGGAAGTAGAAAATAAGAAGTGATAGTACAGTTTTAAAATAAAATAAACGTTAGTAAAACTTAGGATCCTTACATACTTCCCGCCAGAGTTAATTAGTTTGAAACTGAGGTCTAAACGACCTTGTTGAAAACTTTTAGCTCTAGATTCTAAATCTAACGCGAGGCCAATCTTTTACAAACATTCCTCACTAAAAAGCTATCTAATCTAGAAATTAAAAAGTCGTTTTTACATGATCAATTCCATGGACAATTACTTTTCATCTGTACTGCATCTACAAACAGGAGTTTTTCTTAGTTGAATCTGCTTCCTTCCAGAAATCTGGAAGGAAAACTAGTTTAATGAAATGTTAAACAATCAAACGGCAAGTAACATGAACACGTATATCTTCCTTTTAAAAATATTCTTATTTCATTCATGCCATTATTTAATTATCTCCCCGTGCTCTCTGACATGTGTTGTAAAGAGAAACACCAAACACATGCGTGTCTGTGTACAAGTGTTCAACACTACCACCTGCAATCAAAACACTAACGTGTTAAAATTCAACATAACAAGACCTCAGAATACACCTCATATTCATCTCTGAACCCTGAGGTACTTTTCTCAAGAAGTGGCTAACTCTGAAGTGTAGCGTCAGAGAGCCTAACTACGTTCATTCAACCTTTAGCACATATTCACCATGCTTAACTCTTTTTTTCAGTCATACCAAAAGTTAAAATTTTGGCATTACTAGAACATTTTCATTTCTGACATATCACAGTACTTCTTAACTTTTAAGATAACAGTTCACATTGTACATAAGAACATATTAACATGCCGTTAATTTTACGCATTTCAGAACATACATTAGTAATACAATGTTTGTTAACTTCTATTTCTTCTAAGTGCTTTTACATTTAAACACTACATTTCAAAATTCCTTCAAACTAAAATTTCTTTTCTTGACAGAATTTTTTAAATAAAATTTTATACAATAATTTTACAATTTTCTTAAGGTACCTTTCTCATAGATTACCAAAGCTTTTACAATACTCAAGTATTTACACATTCCCTATTATACAATAATTTTAGTTTACTCGCGAGTAATTGAAAAACATAGTAACAAAATAGGTGGTAAAACTCATTTCTCGCCTTTTTGGCGAGAAAAATAGGCCTCACATGAGGTAAAACTTCTTAAATTCTGCCACTTGCAGTAAGAACGAAAAATTAACTTATTAATTAAATTAAAAATGAAAAATGAAAAATTAAGTTTCAAAGTAACATAAAGTTTTACTTATCTTTGTAATATTCAGACATCCATTTAGCCGCCCAGTCCTGGAAAGTGGCGAAGATTACTGTCTGGTTTATCCTCCGTCTTTGCGGGTTCGCCCTTCAGTTCCTTCCTCAGCGAGCTTTCTTGTTTTTTTGCCTGTTTGATGACCCTTGAAGACCTTCTTCTTAACTTCTGATTGTACTCCCGGACACGTAATGGCAGACCGCACATTGAGTTGAACAGTGTTAAACGAATGTTGCATACTGCGCATGCCCAGAAAACAATTTGGCGTAATTACTATGTTGGCGCGATTTGAAAAGAAGATAAATACGGTATATGGCAGATGTATCGCCATCTAATTGTAAACAAATCTGGCGTTTAAATTTTCATAGAGTATAATGTAAATGTAAATTAATTACTGTGTTAAAATACTATTTTTTGCTGTACTGCTCAAACAACTAGAAAGCAGAAATTAGTGCCAAGTAATGTGAAGCTGTATTACATTCAAAATGTAAAATATAATACTTATGAAATTCTGCACATTCCTTTGGAACTGTACAAATTTTCGTTCAGAAAAGACTGAAATTTAGGTTACATTAGTTGAAAATTTATTCATTATACTTTTAAGCAATAAAAACAATTCAGGATTTACCATACGTTCCATTCGTACATACATAAAGAAACACTGAGGAATATAACAAGTGCTTGCAAATAACACTGAAGAAATTTTACAATTCTTTAATGCTAATTATTAAATTCTTTGAAATGAGAAAATAAAAGCGCGAATATACGCTAACAAACTAAGCGAGATACTCCAGTTTACAATTACTGAATTATAACATGTAAACAAATTGCATTTAAATAACGAATTATTACGAACATATGTTAACAAATATTAAATGCACTGTTATTGACAAATTAAAATGAAACATATATTAGAAAAATATGAAAGTGCAATCGGCATGGACGTTAAAATAACTAATAAGCAAAGTTCCACAACATTGCAGTTTTTAAACATCACTCGACAGCCATGAAGATCACGAATAAGCTAACGTAGGGTCGCTTAGTCGTCAATAATTCTCCCCGCGCCAAAGGTACACCATCAAACATGCGCAGTAAGCGAAATTCGTTTAACACTGTTCAACTCAATGTGCGGTCTGCCATTACGCCTCCCGGACGCTTGATGGCTGCTGTTCTTGGAGGAATCGGGAAAACTCTCTCCCGTTGTTGCCTGGATCTAGTTGCTGGCTGTTCAAACGTTTGTTGCTTCCTTGCATCTGCAGGTGGTTTTCAGGGTCGATTCGTCGACATTTGCTGCGTAGATTCCTATCCGATGGTAGATCTTCCGTTTTGGAGCCGGGTTATAGTTGCGCCATTTCTCCTGGCTCTCTTTGCATTCGTCGTACTTCTCCCTTCTTCATTCTGGGGGTGGTCGTGCCCTCTCTTTTCTGGTCGGTGGAACGGCTTCTTTTTTCTTGTTACCTTCAAGTTTTCCAACGGGGAAACTTTCTTTTCAATTGCTCCTGCTCTACT